TGTGATTGGTAATTAGAGAAACAAACAGTATAAAAGCCTTTTTTTTTTTTTTATTTTATGGACGCCATATTACAAAGATACAGTATACAAGGTTCACTGGCCCTGCCCCGCAAGACTGCAACGTCACACAAACCTGCTTTGAGACAAACTGAAATGAGCCTGCACTAAATCCTTCTTTGTTAGTACCACGCCATAAACACACATCCACAGCCACAGAGGTGAGAGTCTAAAAATATTCCCCACACCAGGTGAAACGGAGGCTCGGGGGTAAGAGAAAAAGGAAGCTGTGTTACACTGGCCCTCATCTGAGAGCAACGCCACCTCCAACTCAACGGTGATGTGGAGAGAAAGAAGTAAAGAGACTAAAGAATAAAAGTAAAGCAGAGGGTGTCTCAGTTTTCAGCAGGGAAGCGTCTGCATGAGGGAACAAACAAATGAGTCTGGTGATCCCCTCCTCCACTCTCCATCTCTCTGCCCAAACTTCTGAATCCCACTCTCTCTTTCTAACACCCCCCCATCTCCTTACCCCCCCCCCCCCCCCTCCCCCCTTTCTCCTCTCTCTAGAAACTGGAACATAGAGGGAAAGTGTGACAACGCTATTTTAGTTTTGTAGACAACCTACCTTTCCAGAGGCAGACACCTCACAGCCCTGACACACACCAGTTACCAGGTCAAATGTTAATGTTCACTATTTACTATTATGTGTTGTGGCAAGTGCACAAGGTGACATCTTAAAACGTAAAATTGCTTGATTCGTACAACCACCAGGCCACAAATTATAACATAGACTGATCATTGATATTTCTGCCTTTCTTTGACAAGATTTTTCCTCTCAATTGCTTTTCTGGTTAAATAAATTGAAAAAAAAGTTTTTGCTTATAAAGTGTATTGTATATTATAGACTAAGCAGTCAAGTTGGATAAATAGAGGTGGCGACCCACGTGCAAATAAATCAGTTAACTAAACAGGCATTTCTCATGAGGACCTGAAGGTTCATTTGAATGATGCACTGAACACTGTCAATGATTATACAGCACTGAAAGAGAGCAGAGGCCTCCTTACACACAAACACACACACACTCTTCTAAGTTACCATCCTCAGTTTGTCATTGTTTTTGCTTTATGTTAATGAGCAGTAACAGAAGAGTGATCAGTGGAAGTGGACATCAGCTTGTCAATTTCATACGTGGGCGATCGTAATAATTAGAGCTGCAATAATTAGTTAATTTCTGTTCACAACTACGTAATTTCAGTTTTTCTTTTTCATATTAACATGCAGTAAACCAGCACAATTTCTTTCACAGTGACAGTACAAGTCCAACAGTGAACACAACAGAAACTGCTATAACCCAACATCCCTGTCACCTTGATTGACAAAGTAATAAAGTCAACTTCCCTTTTCTCCAACGCAGCTTCCCTCCGAGCTTCTTACCCCAGTTTGTTCCTTGCATGGCTGCCCTGCTCCTTATCATCCAGCCTCAGCTCCTTCAGCGGCTCAGGTTTAAGTCAGCTCCAACTCTCACTCTGCTCCTGTTCTCCTGGCTCTGTCTCTGACCAACCCTCCTGAGGAAAACTTCTCTAACCCAAAAAAAAAAAAAAAAAAAAAAAAAAAGGATCTCATTCTCAAGCCAAATGCCGCCAATGTGAATGGGAGCACAGTCCCCTCCCCTTCCTCTCCTTTCCTCTCTCTTGTGCCCCCTCCCTTCCCCCCCCCCCTCCTCTCAGTCCAGCCTTTCTCTGACAGATACACCTCCTCTCTCCCTGCTCCACTCCTCCTCTACCATTTCCTTTGACCAAAGAAACTACGCTCTGCAAAGTCCTCTACTGCCTTTGTCAGGCTGAAAGGAGAAAAGAAGGGAGAAAGAAACGGAAAGCCAGGGAAAAGGCAAGCTGTCAGTTAAAGACCATTTTGCTCTCCTTGCCCATTTCAAGTAGAAAGGAGAGAGGAACTGCAAGAGGATATCACCTCACTTAAAAAAAAAAAGTCTGGATTTCCATTTGCCACATATCAGCTTTTATTTTTATTTGTCAAAAATCGAGTCTTCATCCAAGTTCGTTAAGGACAAAGAAGATGCGAGTGAAAAGAGTATGAAATATGCTGGAAAGTGAAGGAGAGAGAGGTGAAACTGGTGGGAAATTGTGTCAGAATTTAATGATGTAAACACTATAATAAGAGTATAAAAACAGCATCTTTATTAACCTTAAAGTGCTCTAGTCCTGCTTCTCATCTGTTCATCTAATCTAATAGACACACTAAAGCTCAAAAAAGTAAAGTAAAAGTTAATCAAGTAACAAACGATTAATTAAACTAGGCGTCACACAATTAAAAAAAAAAAAAAAGGTAAACCTATTAAAGATCAGCAAGTCCAATATTCACTCTCCTTTTAGCACTGTTTTTGGTGGGAGGGTTTATAAAAGGATTTCACTGAAAGAAGCAAAATTGTAAAGAACAAAAACAATGAGCTGAAAGACACTAAAGAGATGAGGGTGACTGCAGATTTGCAGAGATAGTTCTCTGAGGTTTCATCACCACAAGCGATCCCTTCACATAACGTAGTTATTTGATCGACTCTTAATAGAAAATATTGAATAGTGCAGCTTTAAGGAGCCAGTCAGCTTCCACAAGTTTATTCTCCTGTGACAGTGGCAGCATTCAGCCTTTGCCTTGACCTGTAATCCGCCATCTGGCCAAAATGAATGAAAAAATAAAGGAACATCAGGACGAGATGGTGCAGCCTGAGCTCAGCTGCTCAGCTCCCAAATGAAGAGAGGGGTAAAGTGGGGTACGAGAAGTAGGCTATGCCCTGCCACTGCCCACACACACACACACACACACACACACACACACACACACAGATCTGTCCCTCTGCCTTTCTCTCCTTGCTCCTATAACTGGGCCACACTGGTAGGCACCAAGTTTGTCCTTCAGTCAAGGTCGGGGAGGGAGTTCAAGGTCATTCTTGGTCACGTCCTGATGGGAGGTCTGGAGAACACAGAATGTGCCACAAGTTCTGTAAAGCCCCGTCCCGCTGCAGCCAAAGCAACAGAAACCTCTCTCAGTCAAGGTCCAAGAGTGGACAACAAACACCATCAATCAGCCGCCCCGAGGCCACCAGTGCTGGGATAAAGAGGCAGGCTGCAAATCACCTCTGTGAATGCCACCATTAACACTAGCTCTTTATAGGCAGGGGGGGGTCCTAACATGAGTCAGTCCTTTTCGAGGGAGGTGATTTAGAGACTCAAGCAGCAAAGTAAAATCAGGGTATGTGCAGGTCTTGAAAAGTCTTAGAGGCATTGAAAAGGCCTTTGAAGGTGTTTTAAGACTTTCATTTAATTTACAAAGATCTTGTTTTTTATGGGGTTTTTTTTTGCCCGCCATAGATGGTAACATTAGTTATAGTTTGTTTTTTTTTAATTTAGGAGATGTGATACAGCTATGAAGACCATCAGCTCACAGTGGACAAATTAAGATTTTAACTACAACTGAAATTAACTTTAATTATTCAATTATCTTTTAATATGGGAATCCATCCGTCACTTTTCTACTCTTTATCTGGGTCCAGGTCACATTAATTGATTAATTATATCATTAGAAATTGCTGTCATATAAAGCTGGGAAGTACAGACAAAATTGTGATATGTCAATAAATTAATAGATTTAATAAAAAATTGTAAACTTTATTGTTCCTACCCTTTTTCCATTATTCTTTTATCAGTACGACGGATGGATGGAAAAAGGTATTGAATCTCATTATCTGTGGTATTAAAACGGTCTTAAAAAGTCTTAAACTTAATTTGATGAACTCTGCAACAAGAAACTGAACTGACTGAAAATCTGTGGCTTCCTTCTCTGTCTGCAGAAGAGCCAAGGGGAAAACCATGAAGGAAATTAAAGTAAAACACCAGTTAAAACAAATAGTTCCAGTGTGGCTTTGCAGTAATGTTGGGTACATCTGCCTGGTGGTTTCTGGTTTATCCTCTTCAGTCAAATTCAGTTTATTATTCTACAGAAACGCACAAAACATTTAGGAGTGCTGTGTGTGGGCCAATTTCTGGTGAACATTGAAAGTGGCTCCTTAGAGGCCACAATTCTAGTTTATCTGTATCTATAGCGGATGCCCAGCAGGTGGTCATCCATCACAGGCCGAGCTGCCATCTCTCCACGGTCTGTCAGCCCGCTTCCCTCTATATTTTCATAACAACGGTTCACGTCTGGGACCAGGAACCGACAGAAAGCTAGGCCATCCATCAGTGTCCGTGCTGCCTCTGCGTGGGGACATCACTCCCACTGGACGCTGCAGCTAAAACTGGCCTCAAGCAGCCGGCCATTTGGACCACTCACTTCCAAAATAATCCACCATGGCACAAAGCAATCTACGAACACCTCTGAAATAAAACCTAGAGCTTGGCAGGGGGTGGTTCATTAGTTTTAGACACAAATGAAGAGAAGGGAGGAAGAGAGACCTATTTGGATTGAAATAACTACTCCTAGTAAGTCCCATCATAAATCCACAGAAATGGGCTGGCTGTATCGAGGTTGGCAGGGACCCGACTTAGCCACACTCTGATTTACTGTATAATGTGCCAAAGAGATTAGGGTTACGCCTCCAGCTCTGGAATTATAGCAAAACCCTATCCATGATTAAGATCTGTTGCTAACTCCCACGCAGCAGTAATGTGTTAACATCCACACATAGGAGGATGCACACTGCTATGTGTGTGGCATGCGGCAGCCACCTCTTTACATAAAGTCTTAACCAGGAATGGCTCTCGAGAAGAAAAAAAACAAAAAAACAAAACACGTTTGCTCTCAACTCAAAGCAGCAACCTTGTGTGTGAAAATTCCTGCAGTAATCCAAGAGCGTTTGCGTAAAATCATGCTTCAAGGTCAGAGGAACAGATGGTAGGTTCTGTTTCACATATCAGGGAACAGCCAGAAAATTCAGAGTTCCCATTTTATTCAAATTTAAACCACATTGTGTCCTCAAGGCTTCACTTACCTGTCAATGACACCCTGTCTTTAACTTCTGGAGGCCTTAGAGAAGCATGGGGTATGGGCCCGTCGAGCATCCCACGGACTCACACCGGTGAGCAGATCTTCATTCTTTCCTCGTCCCTCTGTTCTCCCAGACTGAGGGAATAAAAAAAAGCAAAGAATGCATGTTGTTGAATCAGCAAAGGGGAAGCAGCGAGACTACTACCACTGTAGAGAGCTGGAAAACCTGAAATGTGACAAGTGTGTTTATGGAAGTCAGTGAGAAAGAGGAAAATCTGAGTCATTATGGCAGACAGCTTCACACGAAAGGAAGGTTGAGACTGAGGGGATTTTCCATGTCAACAAGAGTGTAGACCGAACCCAAAACTAGCACCCAGTTCACAAAACAACTATCCCATGGGTAAAGTAAAAATGTTATTGTTCATTCTTTTGTGTTTGTGCATCACCACAAAGTTTGTGGGTTTTCCCAACAGGTTTTTGTCATTTTCTAAGGTCATGTGAATTTGAAATACAGTTTGCAAGTTAAAAAACAGTTTTATAGAAATTTTGGTTCAGATTTTTTGGTCAGAGTAAAGTAATATTGGAGTTTGGTGTAAAAGAGCATGAGGATAGACAATGAAAAGTGCCAGAGGTGAGCCGACCAGACAGCCATGGTTTCAGTCAGACTGTTCACAGTCCTGCTGCTGCAGTGAGAACATCATAATTGCAAAATAGTACTTCTGATTATATTTGGCACTATCGTGTTTTCTCAGCAAATGGTACCATGTCAGGTGGAATGAACTACTGACACCAACAGAAGATCAAATAAAACTTCCTCAAACTTCAGTTCTGCAGGTTTCAGTCTCCTCTTTCCAAGGCAATTTTTCAGGATGAAATTTCCCCACTATATCATATCATATTATATTATGAGTCTGGACAGATATGGAGGTAAAGTGCCACTTGACTGTTGGGCAGAGGCACACAAGCCCGAGGCAGTAATTAGTTTTTAAATGGTTCCTAAAAACTGAGATAATAAAATTGTGGACTGTGCTGTGAGCCGTGGTGAAACTGAAACTGAGAGGAGTAGCAGCTAACTGGTTAATGTGCATCCTGTTTTATCAGCAGGATCAGGGATGTTTGCTAAATTTAACGTTCCCAACTGCCTGCAGGGTAACTGCAACTGTACAGGCTTTACTTAAAGCTAAGTACACCTCCAGCTCCTCCATCTGTGCCTAACATACTGCATTAGTATGTTACAGGCAGATGGAACTGCCAAGGAGACCGTGGCTTCCCACATGTAATGCAGCTCGATCCAAATGGCTTTAAGGCAGCTTCGTATTGTTGCACTGTGATAGCGCGGAGCCAGAGAGTTCATTTTGAGCCCTGTAAAGTAATAACTTAATAGTTGTTTGTTTTAAAGGCTGACAATTGACCTGCAGATCACAAACAGGTGTTTACTTAAGAGGGCCGCTCCTCTCACCTGCTTGTCCACATTGAAAGGGATAATCCTCATTAAAGAAGACCAAACAGTGCAGAGGGAGAGACAGGAGAAAGAGGAGCATGTGCACTGGATGAAAACAGAGTTGAGGGCGACACTGTGATTACCATTTCATTACATTATTCATCTGCTGAACAAACAACTTCAAAAGACAGCCGTCAATACCACTAAACCTCAACCTCACCGCGACCTGTTAACTGACCCGCAAATCAATCAGCTATCAATGAAGTGGAGGAGTAAAGATAAGGAGTCACTTGTTCATCTCCATCAGAGAGTGAAGACACTTTATTTGGGAGAAAGCACCGACTGAAATGAATTATGCAACTTAATCCTTCTCCTAAATTTACTTTGAAGTAGACATGAATGGCTTTCATGACAGTTCAAAGCAGATAATGTGAATGTAAACACCTGCAGCGAACAGAGGCTCTCCCGATTGAATAAACAGGTGACAAAGTGTCATTATGAGCATAAAGAGGGTTTTATTTCCATATCAAGTTCTTCTTTACAATATCCTGTAAATCTGCCTTTCTTCTGGTCTCTCTCTATCTTCCCTTCATTTTCTCTCTCACACTTTTCAGATTTCACAATACTTAAAATAGCGTTCATCCATCACAGTTGAATCAATCACAAGAATTTTCTCTAATGATTTCCCAGCCTGAACATAAAACAAATCAGTGAATGACTTGCGGCAGCTCGAAGGAGAACACATACAGATCTATGCGTCTGTTCGAGTCCTCAAATTGATTGTGTTTGGACATCTACAATATGCGAGTGTCCCAGACAGTTTACATCTTCTAAAATCTGACACTGGTGATGGACAGATGACAGATGAAAAAGAGAAACAGATAAAAGGTTTAATCTAGCATAGCAGTTAAAGTCAGGTGGTTTCAAATTTCAGGGTCCCACAGGGAAAAATGAGCAAACAGACCATATCCTTACATCCATCTACTTATAATCAACTGAAACGAGCTGTAAATACAGCACTGACATATTCTCACTTCATATTATTGTTATGATGAATGTCTTTGCAAACAGTTGCCTTCATTTGGAGTTGTGTTTGTGTTCACCCGATGAATTATAGTCTAATATTCACCCTCCTTTTAGCTGTGTTTTGCTTTCCACCAGCTCTTAAGGGAAACATTTAGCTTCTAAGATAATAAATGCTCCTCTGTTCATTAGCTAGTAGGGCTGGGCGATTGGACAAATATATCACTGGTTGTTTCATTTTTTTTTTTAAGGCCATTTATTTGAGCGATTTTATGTCATCTTATTTTGCCAATTTTATTTGCTGTGTCCTTGAGCACTCAGCTTGGTAAATAGTTAACCTGTAAAGCACAATTCAAAGCATGAGCTCATAGGAACTGGCAGTTGGAGTTGGGGCAGGTTCTGCACGTTCTTGTTGCAGTGATTTCCATCTTTCACAAAACAGGGCAGTGACTAAACGACAACTAACCCGTCTTTAGTGGTTGCTGTCTGATTGATTGATGCTGAAGAGCAACTTCAATTCATAATGTGTATATATATATATATATATATATATATATACATACACACACACATATATTCAATCACATTTGAGAACGAGACAGAATGCTGTATTTGTAGTTGTGCACCCTGAACATGTTATCCCCACCTGTTTGTTCAACTGGAAGCTGCAAGTGGAGGGGCGTCCTTCATCTGACACTATCAGACTCTTTTTCAAATACCATCAGACAGCTGTTCAGCCTGTCTTTACAGCTTACTGCTTATCAAAGATCTCAAGGCTATAATGTTTCAGTAAAATTAGATTTCACATTAAAGACCACAGACGACAGAAGATAAGGGGAAGGTAAATTTATTCAGACAGAATACACACAACTGTCTGAATAATAATCAGCAATCACTGTTTTCTGGACTGAAGGTGGCCATTTGGAAAGCTTTAACATATCACCCAACCGTTTCAGCTGGTCACTGACTTTGTAGGCTCACACTAACTGCCCAGTACCAAACAGCAGACAGATAATCAGTTTTTTTAGAGCTTTTTAGACTTTTTTCACACCAAAATAATTGTGTGATCCATTGTTAATCTAAAAAAATTACTTTATAGTAGGGCTGCACAGTATCCAAAAAAATATATATTTATTGATATTATTTTGGCAGATATTGCAATTTCAGTATGCTTTTTCAGTTGGAATGGTCGTTTTTGCATTTCATTTTCACTGTTGCTTTACATCTGGAGAATATGCTTTGTAGGCCGGGCGTCACTGTAGCACCACAAAGCTTACGGTGCTAACAAAGCACAACAATGTTGAGACACATTTTACCTTTATCAAACAAATTGCAGCTCCTGCAGTTTGGATGTTGCACTTGCCATATTACGATTGATTATATTTTGATTAATTGTGTAGTTTATAGTCATTTAAAACAGTCACTATTAAAACAGTTCATCAAACACGGACTGATCAGAATTTGGAATAATTAGAGCAGGCAAGAACATTGTGGTACAAAGACAGCAGGATATCATGAATTACAGCCTAATTACTTTCATAAACATTCAGTATTAGTATGAGCAGTTGTGCTTGTTTAAGCACCATGGCATGCCATGAGTTTACAACCACACTGTTCAGGAGGCTACATTAAATAGGATGGGGTGCAGGAAATAAATTTAGATACCTATTGGGAGGGACAGTGTAATAGAGGAGAAGTAATGAGGATAAATGAGGTTCTGTATTTGCAAGGCTTACACACACACACACACACACACACACACACACACACACACACACACACACACACACACACACACACACACACACACACACACACACACACACACACACACAGGACCATTGGACTATTAAGGAACAGGGTGGCGGCCTGCTTCTTCCCTATCCAAACACTGCCACCCCACAGCACTTAGGTTTATTATTCTAATGTTCAGCCGTGTGCCGAAGGGTTCAGGCAAGTTAACAGACTCAACGATAGATGGTGGGACCAGCACACCCTGAACAAAGGCTGTTCAGAAAATAGGGAAGTGGTGCAGCATAAAAAGAGGTCATACAGCCAGACATGTTGACATTACTGTACTCTGGATATGTGAGACAATGCTCAACAAACTGAAAACATGCAATTCATTTTAATTTGACAGCTGCTTGCTTACACACAGTTGCGGTCAAGAACATAATAACGGCATAAATGTAGGGAAAGAAACAGTTTGTTGGTTTTGTGTTTAGAAATTCTGAAATCATACAGCTGTTTATTTGGAAGGATAAAATGGGCAGAGTGGGAAGTCAATCCACTGGGAAAACTGGCATGTCTGCCTTGTTTGGAGAGCGAGAGGATGGCCCACATGGAAAGCATCGCATTCCATCTTAAACAGTACAAAATCTCTGTATTTTTCTCAGACATCCTCATTTAGGATCATCCAGGCCAAACCTCAAACATCCTCCTACGTTTTAGAAACCTACTAAGAAAACTCACTGTTGTGTGAGCGGTGAGGGACTGAGGATAAGGAGGAAACAAGAAGGACCAGGAGAGCAGCTGTGAGTGAAGAGGTGGTGGTTGAACAAGCATTGTTCAAAAATAAGATGTCTACCACATTTTTAGGAAGTGAAATGTAATATGTAAGGTATCCGTGTCTATATGGGAATCATTATGACCATATTAATAGACATTTTAA